TTAGGGGTGTGTGGCCTAACATGCAAAGGAGTTCCTGCTACAAAAAAATAACTCTGGGTTTTGACAACAAACAAGGTAAACAGAATAACAAGCAAAAGGTGGGTGTGGCTGGATAACCACACTTCTGGTAACATGGGGCTGTGGCCTAATGTGCTAATGAGCTGTACTGTCAGGGGTGTGGCCCAATATGCTAATGAGTTCCTGCTGTTGGGTGTGGCCTATTATGCTAATGAGTTCCTGCTGGGCTTTTTCTACAAAAAGAGCCCTGGCACGACTAAACACCGAGGCACATACCTTCCCACTGAAGCAGCACCTATTTGTCTACTTGCAATTTCTTGCTTTCAAACTGCTAGGTTGGCAGGAGCTGGGGCCAGAGATGGGAGCTCACTTTGTTAAGCAATACCCGGATTTCAAACTGCCAAACAACAGACCTTCTGGTCTGCAGCTCAGCATCTTATCTACTGAGCCAACGTGGCCCCTAGTTCAGGATAAAAAGGTAAAGGTAAAGGTCCCCTTGCTCGAAAGCCAGTCGAGTCCGACTCTAGGGTTGCGGTGCTCATCTCCGTTTCAAAGCCGAAGAGCCAGCGCTGTCCGAAGATGTTTCCGTGGTCATGTGGCCGGCATGACTAAACACCAAGGCGCACGGAACGCTGTTACCTTCCCACCGAAGTGGTACCTATTTATCTACTTGCAATGTCTTGCTTTTGAACTGCTAGGTTGGCAGGAGCTGGAACGAGAGACAGGAGCTCACTCCGTCATGCGGCACACTCGGGTCTCGAACAGCTGAACGACGACCTTCCACAGCCTGCAGTTCAGCGTCTTAACCACTTGAGCCACCGCAGCTCCTAGGGCAGGATAGAAGTCTCAAAAATAAAATAAATATCGAATCGACCACTAGAGGGAACAAAACACAAGTAACGAGAAGACACAAGTGAGAAAAACTGTCCCGTTCATTTAAATGGAGAAGTTCAGTAAAATCTTCTACTAGTTTACAGCAAATTGAGTCCAGATACCTTCGTGACCTAGAGCAAGCCACCATCTGTTCTGCCCTGCTTTTATTTGGGCTCTGGCACCACTACCAACTTGGGAACAGGAGCTGTCTTCTAACTTGGCTACCGGCACATTAACTTTCTGCTCACATCGTTACCCCTTCTGTCACGGATCCGCAAGTCCTCGGTGCAGTTGCCCTGTGGCTTTCCTTTTAACAGCTGGCCGTAAAACCGGGCCAGTGTTAACAGCCGCGAAAGCCGGCTGAGTTGTCATTTCCTTCGACTGAGTTCATTAAATTCCATGCACGGTTTATGGACGTGGGCCTCGAAGAGGTCCTGTGCGGCGTTACAGAGAGATTGCATGTCAAACAATGATAAATGCATTATTTAGGTGTTGCCACGATCACAACTAGTCGGCTTACTTCCTGCCGCTGCTATTTTTATGCATCGGTCTCAGAACGCATTCTCCTGGCTACCCACCTCTCAGGTCTGAACTCTTCCGGCTCCGGCCAATATTCGGGGTCACGGTGCAAGACGTAAGCAGGGATCACGGTCACGGTTCCTTCCGGGATAGTCACTCCATTAATCTCCACGGTGCTTTTGCAGACCCTCTCGATCCGTGCCCCTGGGGGGAAGAGCCGGAGGGTTTCATTCACTGCCATGTCAAGGTACTCCATCTGAAGGATGGCGTCATAGGTGGGCGTGGCCTGTGAAGGGAGAAAAATATCTCCTAGTGAGGGGCGGCATTTAACAGTGGGCTATAACGATGACAGCAGCCATGAAATGAAAAGGCGCCTGCTCCTTGGGAGGAAAGCAATGGCAAACCTAGACAGCATAATGAAAAATAGAGACATCACCCTGCCAACAAAAGTCCGTATGGTCAAAGCAATGGCATTCCCAGTAGTCATGTATGGCTGCGAGAGTTGGACCCTATGGAAGGCCGAGCACTGAAGAATAGATGCTTTCGAATTATGGTGCTGGAGAAGACTCTTGAGAGTCCCTTGGACTGCAAGGAGATCAAATCAGTCAATCCTAAAAGAGATCAACCCGGACTGTTCCCTGGAAGGCCAGATAATGAAGCTGAAGCTCAAATTCTGTGGCCACCCAATGAGAAGGGAGCACTCACTGGAGAAGACCCTGATGCTGGGAAAGATTGAAGGTCAAAGAAGACGGGGACAGCAAAGGATGAGATGGTTAGACAGTGTCATAGATGCAACGAACATGAAATTGAGCCAACTTCAGAGGACGACAGAGGACAGGAAGGCCAGGCAGGAGGTGGTCCATGGGGTCATGAAGAGTCGGACTCGACTGTGCGACTGAACAACAACAACAACACGAATAACTGGATGCCATTCCATTGGATTGCGGATTATGAAATGTGGTCGACAAATAAAATGCTGCAAGAATTGGAAGCCAATCCCAACACGACATTTCACACTTAGACAGAACCTTTGCACTTCTCACAATCTTACCGTAGATATCTCATAGTTCATCGCTATATACCCTATTTGCATTCAGCTTGTAATGAGAGACTTTTATTTTTTTTACACAGGCATGAAAAAGTTGGCCCTGCAATTACTGTGACGATAAATACTAAAATTATCGAACGGGCCTAGCATTAGCGAGTCATATTACAACAAGAGATAGTTTTTTAAAAAAACAAATCAGGTTTTCAGCTTTTTGCCCAAATACTTTAAAAAGATTACGAAAAATCTAAAGTCACCCGCCAAAAATTCTCACCCATCCTTCTTCCGAAATTTCCATTCAGAGAAACCTGATTTGCTTGTCATAACAGTGCTTATTTACAGAAAAACATCAAGTTTTATCATTCTCTTAATCTGTTCTATCCTGTGATCATTCTCTAGATAACTGATCGGTTCATAACTAAATATGAGATAACCAACGTAAGTTCAAATACGCCAATCAGCAGGTGCGTATGAAATACATCTGATATAGCATGATAAGAAGGCCAGTCTCAGCGCCTATTAAAGAGCAATTAATCTAACTTTTCTGTAACTGCCAGATAAGTACTACAGAAAAGATTAGAATCCACATGCAAAAGAAACTCCTCAGGAAACAGGAAACCTCCTCAGGAAACAATCCATGTACAAAAGAACCTCCTCAGGAAAGTTCCTCCATTAGCACGTTCACAGCCTCGGGAACTCCTACAAGATAATGACTCAGCCCTTCCCCACCTTCCTGAGTAGATAGAAATTACCTGCCAACCATTTTTCTTCTCACCTTGACACAGAGAGTACTCCATCTTTCTGTGTCATACCTCTGGGGATGCCAGTCACAGCTACTGGCGAAATGTCAGGTCCTACAATGCCAAGACCACGGCCAGACAACCCGGAAAATCCACAACAGTTAATTTTCCGTAACTGTTTCAACTAACAGTCCAAGATGAAAGTAACCTGAAGCAAAGAGAGTTCGACAGCAGAAAAAGTGCTTGAACTCTTGGTTGGCTTGCAAACTCGGCAAGAACACTTTAATGTTGTCACAACTAATGCTACAAGCGGGTTTCTACCACTCAAAAAATAAAACAGACCTTTAAAATACACGACTCCTTTCTCCTTCAGCAAATTTCCGTCCCGGTACAGCAAACCAGTTTGGTGTAGTGGTTAGGAGTGTAGACTCCAATCTGGGAGAACCAGATTTGATTCCCCACTCCTTCACATGCAGCTGTCGGGGTGACCTTGGGTCAGTCGTAGGTTCTTTCAGAGCTTTCCTCTCAGGAGCAGTCCTCGAGAGAGCTCTCTCAGCCCCTCCTACCTCACAGGGTGTCTGTTGTGGGGAGGGGAAGCGAAAGGAGATTGTAAGCCGCTCTGAGACTCCTTCGGGTAGTGAAGGCTGGGGTATAAATCCAATCTCCTCCTCTTCATTTGGGCCAAGCTCAGTTAACACGAGACACTGGGAACGTTTACCTGGTCAGGGAGAGCTTCGTCGATCTCCTCTTGTAGCCTCTGCTGAACATCCGGGTGGGTGGCCAGGCAGTAAGACAGGAAGCTGAGGGAGGAGCTGGTGGTCTCGTACCCCGCAAAAATAAAGATAATGGCTTGTGCGATGATCTCCTTGTCAGTCAGAGCTAGAAAAGAACAAGGAGGGAAAACAAGTAAGGAAAATACGTCTGTTAAACAGCCACTGGATCCCCCAGCCTGAACTTTAGAAAAAGACCCGTGGAGGATAGACATGGAGCTGCGGTGGCTCAAGTGGTGAAGACGCTGAACTGCAGGCTGTGGAAGGTCGGTAGTTCAGCAGTTCGAGACCCGAGTGTGCCGCACGACGGCGTGAGCTCCCGTCTCTCGTTCCAGCTCCTGCCAGCCTAGCAGTTCGAAAGCAAGAAATTGCAAGTAGATAAATAGGTACCACTTCGGTGGGAAGGTAACAGCGTTCCGTGCACCTCAGTGTTAAGTCATGCCGGCCACATGACCGTGGAAACGTCTTCGGACAGCGCTGGCTCTTCGGCTTGGAAACGGAGATGAGCACTGCAACCCTAGAGTCGGGCTCGACTGGCTTTCGAGCAAGGGGACCTTTACGTTAGGATAGACATGGGTGGGGTCAAGGCCGGGGCAAGAAGGAAGCGGGATTCTCCACCCTCCAGTGTTGTTTCCCTAATATAAATCCCCCTACACAGGCAAAAAATCCCATTTGCCACAGTGGGGAAATACAGAAAGGTCCCGTCGATACCCCTGCTGCAGTTATTATGAAATAGAAGGAGGAACCACAAGAAATGCTTTCAAAACACATATACGGGGAAGGGCTTTGGCTCAGGAGAAGAGTTTCTGCTTGGCATGCAGAAGATCCCAGGTTCAATCCCCGGCATCTCCAGCTGACAAGGACTCGGCAGCAGGTGATGCAAAAGACGTCTGCTTAAGAACCTCCCCGCAACCAGTCGACTTGTCGGAACTGTGATTGTGCTTTACTGTTCATCATTGTTTTAGATTGTTTGATTTTTTAAACTGTATTTATTGTATCGCTCTATGATGTAACTCGCCCTGATCCCGCTTGCGGGATGGGCAGGCTATAAGTACAAATAAGAAAGAAAGAAAGGAAGGAAGGAAAAAAGGAAGGAAGGAAGGAAGGAAGGAAGGAAGGAAGGAAGGAAGGAAGGAAGGAAGAAAAAGTAAGGAAGGAAGGAAGGAAGGAAGGAAGGAAGGATTAGTTTTATACCCTGCCTTTCACTACCTGAAGGAGTCTCAGAGCGGCTTACAATCTCCTTTCCCCTCCCCACAACAGACACCCAGTGAGGTCGGTGGGGCTGAGAGAGCTCTTTCGAGCACTGCTCTCGAGAGAACAGCTCCGAGAGAACTATGACTGGCCCAAGAAGGAGGAGGAGGAGGAGACTGGGTTTATACCCTGCCCTTCACTACCCAAAGGAGTCTCAGAGCGGCTTACAATCTCCTTTCCCTTCCCCTCCCCACAACAGACACCCTGTGAGGTGGGTGGGGCTGAGAGAGCTCTCTCAAGAACTGCCCGTGAGAGAACAG